GGCCTGGTTCTAGATTCTAGTCAAGAATGTTTGTTCGCCCACACAAGGTCCCGAGTGGGCAAGAGATCCTGGGTCGAATGCAACTAAATAGATTGAACAACTTCTTGGAGGGTATGACTTGAAGCCGATGAACAGCCCTGAAATGGTTGCTGCAGGAGATAGAGGTTGAAGCCCCCACCACACCATTCCTGAGGCAACACTTGTGCGGGGTTCTTGCATGGGGCGTTTTTCCTGGATGGGTCACGGCTCAGGCCTGTGCCAGCTACCAGAATTGCTATGCTCAGGCGGGACGCAGAACTGGGCCACAGCCGCAACACGTGGACTGGTGGCAGTACTCATTGGCTGGGTGCTCCCTTCATCACAATGGTGATCACGACCTATGACCAACACTCCCATCAAACTACCTGCCACTTTTCTAGCGATCAAGAGTCAAGAGCGATCCATCTCACAGAACACGTGCCTTCCGAACATGGCGCCAGGCGCAGGGTGAGGTCGGTAGCACAATATCCACGGCAAACCAGTTGGCAGACAGTTTAAAGGCCGGAAGAGACGGGAACAGCGGAGTTGGGGTCTCAGGCGCTGGGCGGAATTTTCCGAAGAGCAAGAACTTGTTCAGCGATCAGTGTATTGCAATTCGGGCTGGAAGCTGCGAAGTTGGCTGCGTTGGTTGTGGTAGTGTGAATGTGGAATTGCTATGGTGGTGTGCTTTTGCAAGTTGCGGTCAAAGAGAAAGCACACTGAAACTCATCGGTGGCCCAACATGGGATCCCCATCTTCAAGACCGCCTTCCAATTCCGAAAGTGAATCGGCTCAACCATTTGTCTGGGGTGTTCAGTGTTCGGTTTTTGAACCGCAAAATGGAGAGATAGACATCAGACATCCCAAATGATAGCCTACCATTGGTTTGTGAATCATGGATCCACCGCGATTTTTGTCAATTTTCTATTTTTTTGTTACACCTTCTTGGCAGGTTCAATGGGCCGCCTTGAAGAAGATCGAATGTTTGCTGGATGTGATCTTGGCAGCTGGAGACCAGGCGGCTATGCAGGCGCGGCGAGCCGATTATCAGATCAAGATCTCCCAACTGAACTTCAGTGCGAATGTGGTGTGAAGAATCCACCAAGCAATATGCTATCGAATCTTCATGAAGCACTAGGGGTCCCTTCTCACTTCTCATCCGTTTGGGTGTGTATCTGGGTGTGTAGCTCAAATAGGGAGGCCATGGGAGACCTGCCAGACAGCAACCCCCTGGCTTCGGTTCGGGACATAGACGAGTCCACCAAGCCGGGGCGGCGAGGACGAGCTTATAGGGGGGGGGGGGTCCCCCCCGATATCAGCCCGACCTCCCAACGGATCCCTGTCTGGCCCCAGGGCCCCATCTCCCCCGGTGGTGCTGGCGTCGACTTGTGGTCGATCCACCGTCCGGTTCCCCCGACAACGGTGGGTGCCTTCAGGGTCGGGAAACCGGGGAAGCAAGAGAGTACACTGATTACTAACATGGAGACGAAACAGGGACCTTCGAAACTATATTTGTAGTACTATATGAAACCATAGAAAGGGATACATTTTCGACGCTCGCGCACTTGTGAAATCCATTCCGACCCTCCCACAACTTAAGATCTTAGTCACGAGCGCTGCGTTTGCCAAGCCGTCAATGCCCCATGCCTGGCCGACGTTGTCAGGCCTGCGTGGACGCCACGCACGACACGTCCGCGCTGAACATCATTGCCCGGCGAACCCGCCGATGCAGGCCTGCGATGCGGGCGTGCCGCCCACGGGCTGTCCTGCTTGAGGAGCGTAACGGATGAGGAGCATCAAACAAAACAGTTGGGACTTGATGGTATGGTGTTGTGTTTGCAAATTCCAGATCTATTGTTCTCTGTGTCTTAGTCTTACTGGATGCTCCTGTGGTTGAGTTGCGTGGCCTTGGACAAAGGTTTAGGGCCACACTTAGCTCAGCTTTACTCAGCTTTCAACGCGGAGCCAAAAAGGAGCCGAAAAGCAATTTTGCACCCAAAATGTGAGAATTGGCCAAGGCAAAACGAGGCTGACAAGCAAAATGGATTCAGCAGATTTGCAGAAAGGACGGACTTTCGAGTGTGCAGCACAAACCAGCATTTTTGGGAGTCAACATTGGTCAAAGTCATGTTTTGCCTCAAGCAGCGACCTTGTTGCAGAGCAGACCTTTCGACCTTTCGGCAAGCAATAGCACTGAACATCGTTCTAGTACGACAAATGCTGCCTGTTCATCACTGCTTTGAGTCGCCCACCTATGGCGACCGACCTCGGAGCCCTGCCTTTTTTCTCGGGCGATCCGGTGACGGAATGCGCAGATGGGACTCTTTCACCGCAGGAGGATCCGAAAAGGTTTCTGTAGTTCTTCAACATGGCCATAAAGCTATAGCGTACCTGTCAACGAGAGCACGCCGACCTGGAGGATCGAGCGACTTGGAGGATGCGACTTGGAGCCCTTCTGCCACAGCTTCATAGGACGCCGCAACATGTTTTGGAGCCCTTGCACTGCAGTGAAATGCGGATGGATGGCCCCAATGATTTGAGGAAGCGAGATTGTCTCTCGTAGACTTCGTGCTGGTGCTACATAGTTGGATGCTTAGGATGAACTTGCGTTCACGGCTTTTACCGTGCCACAGAGCAATGCAGCCCGAGATGGTCGTGACACTGGAACAGAGTTCAAAAGCAAGAGAACCGTGAGAGAGCAACAGGATTGGTGCAGGGTGTTGTATCTGTAGTAATCTACAGTGTCAGCCAAACCACAAGAGGTTGGTGTCACCAATCTCAGCGACTTTTGTTCGATGCTTCTCCTGAACACCTCGTCCGATTTAGCCATTTTTGTGACGATGAGACACACGTACAGACGATGTGGCTGCTGAGTTGTTGAGGCTGGTCCTCCACTTGCTTCGCTTCCTCCCAGCCACCCAGCCAGCAATTTTCGTCCGTTCTGGGAGTCTGTGCGCTGAGGACAGTTCTAGAGCGGCACCTGATCGCTCGAGTCACAACCTCAAAGAGAAAGAGGCGGGGTGGAATTTCGCGCCGAGTCACAGCCGGTCAGCCTTCGAAGGTGCGGGTGTTTGCAGGGCTTTTTAGTTGTTTCAAATCTTTTTCTTTTTTTTCACCTATAACTTATAACTCCTTCTTGCTGGAATGCAGGTTTCTGCCAGCTGTCTGGCCATGTCTGGCCCCTTGCTCGATGTCTTCCAGTGATTGCCTCGGGTGCGTTCGTCTCAGTGACTCGCTTCGCTTCGGGAGACCGACCTGGAGCCGTGCCGAGCCGAGGAGACTCGCCCTGCGGTGCCGAACGGGTGGTTTCCTTAGACCGACCTGGAGCCGTGCCCCTTAGGCACGCGGAAAGCGAATTCAACCCGCAGCCTCACAGAGAGGTTCTTAGAGTCTTAGAGTGTGATCCACAATGCAAAACAATCTCAGCAGCAACTTCAGTTCCTCCTCCTCTTGTGAGGGACCAGTCCGGCTTTCAGGACTGCGAAGCGCCTGTGATCACTCTGCACTGCCAGTCCATGACTGCCAGGGTCACACTTGACCAGGCAGCTGTTGCATCCCTTGACCAAGCGGCGTTTCGGCCAGGCCACAGAGCTTGGAAAGCAAAGTTCACCTTCTCGTTAAATCGATGCTTCAGAAGAGCCTGCTGCGTCTGGAGTGGAGTGGCTTGGTTAACAGCATGGCCGGTGTGCCGAACTGGATGACAAGAGATGCTGGCTTTGGTTTTTTTTTGCCCTGCAGCCATTTTGGTTCAACACCCTATTTGCAGGACCGCTGCGTCGCCGTGGAAACAGTCATGAGCTCAGATCCACAGAGATGAGGAGCATTCCTGAAATGTTCAGGTTCTGTCTTTTGCGCAGGTCGAGCTGCAAAAAGAGGATCTCAATCCGAGTCAAGTTTTGCATCAGAGTTCCCGTATGTTACGACTAGTAAGTGAGTTTGCATATAGTATGCACTCTCCATTCCCATACGACAGGACAGCAACAACTATGTTCAACAACAGTCCCATATAGAGGGGCAATCATGATTGCGTTGGCAAGGATGGTAAAGACAGAGCTCAAATCTGAAGGGTTTTCGACCAAGGTTTTGTGCGAGTGTGCACTCTGAGCTAGCCATGAGCGAGGACGCATGTGCTGGTTTGATGAACCGTGCTTTTTTGCTTGATCTTGATGTAGCAACGCAAGGTTTTGGATATGTATGAATATGGATATATGAGTTCTTGGAATCAGGTATGGTCTCAGATTGTTGCAATGCCACACACTCATTGTTTAAATTAGAAGTTCTGGTAGCTATTTTGGCGTAGCCTTGCTGCCTGTCCTAGAAGCTCGTGGGCCCGCAGAGCAAGGAGCAAGAAACTATAGAATGGCCTTGTCACATTTAGTGGCCACTCTGCAATTGCGATCAACTTTATGGAACATTCGCAAAACTCCAGGGGACGTGCAAGTTGAAAACGAGAAAGTTCATGCAGGACTCCTTGTCTCATCGCTACAAGTTCCAGGCCCAGAAGTGCCCAACATGTTGTGACGAACCAGCTAGTTCCTGATATGCACTAAGTGTGCTGTGTACCAGCTGGGGACATTGATGCAGGACAGAGCATGCTTTCAACGGTGTGAAACTTGAGTTAATACTTAAAATCAAAGGAGGCTGTGAGTTCAACTGTGTTATCTGGGTCATTCATAGCCGTCTTCGCCAGGCGCCCATATCGAAGGAAGACTTCGAGGACGAGCTAGAGCTGCGCGCCATCGATGCAGTCGTGCAGGAGGTTTCGTCCTGCGAGTTTGTGACTTGGCTGGGAGTTCTGACGATTCTCAGATTGATGAAAGATGGATGGACACTCCTAGCCTTTTCCCAGAGCCTGCTAGACATGTGAGTTTGAAGACATTCCGCTTCCATCAACAGCATACCCGAAAATGGCCTCACTGGCCAAGGTCGTGAAATCTTCTGATGATCCTCCACGATCGTTGGAAGTTCAAGGAATTCTCGGAAGGCGAGAAGAGCCCAACACAATCGCTGTGGCTATGGTGTGGCTCTCTCCAATCGAGAACCAACATGAAGCTTCTGGGTTGCTGGGAAGCAAGAATGTGCACCTGGTAGAATGCTGTGAGATTCACGCCAGCCAGCCTTTCTTACGCTGTGGAAGGTAATTCTCCTTGAGCAACTGAAGCAACCTTGAAACCGTTGGGAACAGATTAGAAAACCAAGGCCAACATATAAAACCCTAGCGCTTACCTGGGTATTTCTAGGCTGTCCAGCTTCTTCCCCAAGTTTGTCAGCATTTCTCACTGTTCCTGGAAATCATCAGTTTTGGGGTTTAGTTCTTTTTT